TAACTCAGCATTATCGCCGTAAACCGGTGGGTCGTTACTGTGAGTCACACAGTAACTGGGATATGTCGCATTCATTAGATATATTTCACTTAATATATTTCACAACTTAGCTGGCAATGTTGATGTTTTGGTGTTCGCAACAATACGACGGTAACAGTATGTCTCAAGGAAGCACGACACTTTTGATTATTTTTTTCTGTTCTTGTTAGTACAGAAATATTTGATTTAGTCACAATACAGCTGTCACTGTCGGTTGACTGTAAAATGTTGAACGTGGACACACACTTCATTAAGCATTTTGTGCATCCACCGCAACTGTCAAGAATACCAATATTGGTAGCCGGGATTGATTGTTAGCTTGACTTTCCAGTTTTGATCAACAGGTAGTTCCACACTTTCTAGTGCAAAAGTGGTAAATAATGCAGGTAATGCAGATAACAAGTAACAGATAATGCTGCGCCCCCTGTCGGTATGCTTGAGAGAACACATGGGCTTCTGCTGCTTCAAATCGAACCTACAAAGTTATCGAGGGACATGGCTAAATTAACCAAAATAGTTGTTGTGCTGTTGATCAGATACTAGTAATGCAATGTTTGGCCTGTCCCGTAGAAAAACAACACGGGACCATCTTCCGAACTAGATAAAGCTTTTCGTCAAGGAGTTAGCTATAGATTCCTCTCAGTCAGAGCTGTGTACGACAAGAACCACTTGAACCTGGCTCAAAACTATGTCTGCTATTAATATAAAAAAATCACTAAAGCTCAAACGTGACTGGACTGCTGAACCAAACAAGAACGTGTATTGTTATGAATTATTAAAGGGCGGCAGTCGTCGTGCCGCGTTCTGTTCGATATGGGACTCACAGTGACGTATACAACGCGTGTAAAATACATTGTTTATTTACATGAAATTCAAACACGCGCTGCGCCGACGACCACCGCGCTTTAAGTTTTGTACTTCTGTATGTAAAAACAATTATCCTTCGAACATCGTGCTTCGGTCATTGTATGGCGCCCTCGTTTCTGAGGTGCTCAAAACGGGCCATTGTTTTCGGGCGTTACATCGAATCTTATAGTGAAATTGACAAGTGTGAATATTGTTCTATTAAGAAGTTTGCGTGTGTTTCAATAGCAGTATGTATTCCACTAGCGATACCGTATGGACACGGGGCCTTGGCACCATAATGCCCATTATCACCTTTTGTCAACAATGTTTAAACAATTCATTATTTTTTTCTAAATTTACGCTTTTTAAGTAATTATTTACTCGTAATTTTATTTAATTTCTAAATTAAATAGCAGATAACCGAAGCCATATAATAAAATCACCTGAGTAAATGATCCCATCTAAACTACATCCACAAAAACCATAGAACGATTTTGTTGTGTAATTTGAAGAAAAAAAGAAGAAAAGGACAAAAACGTCGCTTGGTGGCGAACTGGAACAGCTCTATCATGCATGCCCAGTGCGCATTAATGTAATGGTATCAATGACATGAACAGGATTGCTATTGTCATGTTAATTTCTTTGAAACATCGACAGGATATTGACTCATCTCAAATATTAAACTGCATTGTGTGCGTCTAGTAAATCTACATGGGAGACCAATAACAATAATAATAATATAATAATATAATAATAATGAATTTATTGCATCCTTAGAAATAATTTCCATTGGTTGAACAGCAATAAAATGTTAGTAATAAAGTACAATACATATAAAATTAAAGTAAAAGTAAAATGTCAGTTATTGATATTTCTGATTTCAAATATTTTGTATAAGTATTCACCAACTTGTCTTATTAGTACGTCTTCTCTTGAACTCATAATATATTTAAATATCTGGTTATCACTTTTCAATTCTTCTGGAATACTGATATTATTAAATAACTTTTGTCTTTCTGTTTGGTACCTAAGACAATCCATGAAGAAATGTTCTTCATTTTCAATTTTGATCTGGGAACATTGCTTACAGATTCTGTCTTCTAACGGTATTTTGGGTTGGGTATGTCTACCCTTCTCAATTTCTAATACATGACTGCTTGACATGACAATTGAACAAGCCAGTGAGCGTTTTTTTTTTATTTCGTATAACAATTGCAAATGGCATATACATGGAGGCAAATGGCATATGTAAATTTAGAATGCGATATTCCTTACATTCATGTCGATATTATTTTGTTGAAAGTCGTGAATATAGTCTCATACGTTCACGGAATCTTTAAGATGTCAGTACAAGATGTCAGTAAAAAATTATCATCAGTAGTCGGCAAAAGTTGTGCAAAGTGACGTGAAAGTTTACGAAGTTGCTGGGGAATTCGACCTATGATGTAGTCAAAACGAATCACGTAGTTCAAAACTGAAATGGTTCGAAAAGACTGTCATAACATTTCACCGAGTACAAAATTGTGCAAGTGACGGGAAAGTTGACGAAGATGCTGTGGAATTCTATAAATTGGCATATGTCAATTTGAAAAAAAATTATGTGATTTCCCTAACTGTGAAAGTTGTGAAAATAGTTCCAAATGTTAATAGAATGTTTTATGTTTCGTACAAAATGTTAGCCTAAAAAGGCGTATAAAGTTTTGCAAAGTGACGGGAAGTTTCTCGAGAATTAAACCTATGTTGTTTTTATAACTCGCCACGTAGTTGAAAGTGCGAAAAGGAACGCGTGCGCTCATTATATGAGCGGACTGTCATACTAGTTGGTCGTAAGCTGTACAGCCTGTAAAGTTGTGCAAAGCAATGGGGAAAATGGCAATGTTGCCTTGCCCAATGCGTTGTCATAACCAATCACGTAGTTTAAACCTCGAAAAGTGGAAAAGACTCGTAAACGCTCCTCGTATACGGACTAGCGGACTGACGTACGTGTATTTTGTACCGGCATGGGAGATCATTTGAACAAAACAGTGAGCGTAACTATTTTATTTTTAATTTCGTCACACACATACAAATGACATATGTCAATATGTCAGCTGTTTTCGTCGCCGTGATGTTGATAATATTTTGCTGAAAGTCATGAATTTCGTTTCAAATGTTCTTAAATCTCAATCAGATATTGGCTGCTGTAGTCGGAAAAAGTTGGCAGAAATCTGTGGACGGAAAGGTATGGCAAAGTTGTCATATTATTATTAACCAATCACGTAGTTAAAAGCTCTAAACATAAAAAAAATGGAAACTTGTTATTTCAGTCAATATTTATTATTTCAAAATATTTTCTTGGTGCAGAAATAACAACGACATTGAGTGTTGCTATGGCAATCTGAAACACGGACATTAAAGAATGCATCTTCGTAGTCGATATTCACAATATCGTGTTAGTTCACACCATGGCATATTCGTTGGGATTTTATAAATAAAAGAACGGACGTTTTACCAAGTGTTCCAAAGTTACCTTTCCTAAATGTACACATAATAGTGACTGTACTGTTATTCGCTCCCAGACAATAACTGTAGTTTCACATATTCCAGCATGACATCAACATGTGTCAACGGGTGATTACTAGGGGAATGAATTAATAAAAATGTCAACTTTTAGAATTTATAAAAATATCAGTCGACCAAATAAAATATATACATGCAGAAAAAAGGTTTGGTTTTAGTTTTAGTTCATAGAAAAAAAAGTTGTATCGGTTATGTTTCTTGGTTGAATTAACTCGTAGTCTGGAAAGAAATTACTATTGACCAATGTAATGTAATAATGTTTTATTCTCAAATAAATAAATAAATAAATAAATAAAATATAAATAAATAAATAAATAAATAAATAAATAAATAAATAAATAAATAAATAAATAAATAAATAAATAAATAAATAAATAAATAAATAAATAAATAAATAAATAAATAAATAAATAAATAAATAAATAAATAAATAAATAAATAAATAAAATATAAATAAATAAATTAAATATAAATATAAATAATATTACTTATTAATTAAAGTTTGTTGATAATACTATAATACGGAGGAAAAAAACGATAAGAGGTTGAAGAATAGAATTTAGCAGAGCTACCAATCTAGTTTAAACTCAACAACTATTCACAAATATATAAATATACAGAAAAACAATACAAAGAAAAAATGCTCAATTCTGTACACGAACAAGCGTGGTCAAATATTAATGTAATAACAAGTGTTCTTCAAATTGTTTTGGAAAATGTTCCTTGAAGGCGAGATTGAAATATTTGATGATATATTTTATTTCAGATTTTGATTTTTCAATATTTTCAGTATATTTCGTTGTAATTGTATGTTATTAAATGATAATTTTTAATTGTTAATGCGATTTGAGTATACCATCCACTTCAGCTAATATATATAATATAATATTTTAATTTTACTTTCCTTCCAGTATTTATATTATCTGCAATGATTACATCACTAAATACAACTGAACACGAGCACTCCGATTAAAATAACGAATTCTTGTACTATTAATCATAATTCTTCTTATTATTATCAGAAATTTATCGATGACATTCATTAACAACAACAAAAAATGAAGGAACGACGACATATTTTTGTCGCGATATATTTGATATGTTCACATATTCATCTGTCTGTGAGAACATTTTCCAACAAAAATTATCGAAAAACTAACTCGGACAAAAATCTAATTTAAAGCAGGGAGTTGTCATCTGCGCATGTGTCAGATGGCCATAGCATGTGATGTTTACAAACAAGCGTCTACCCATGAGCCTTTACGTTTTTAGCGTGTGTTGTTATCGTCGCTTGGGACTGCGGTTTTCGATATATAGTTCGATAGATTGGCGTTTGTTTGTTTGTTTGTAATCATCTCTTTTGCGTGTGCTGTACTACAAGATTTTATGTATATTATCGTATTTTTTAGCATTTTTCAGAAAAATAGATGTTGTGAAAATATATCCCGTATAATGAACACCCAGTAGCAGTCACGCGATTTATTACCATATTTTAGCGTAAATAAATTATTAAACTTATTAATCAACCAGCCACCTCCCAGAGTTCATCATTCAAAATGGCGCTCTACTCAGGTAAGCATGTGTTCGCATCTTACGTCCATTTGCCAAGTAAACAATGTACAATCTCAGGATAGTCGATATTTTTAAACTCTTAAACTGACTTCAGACAGTTAGATTGGGGTCAGGCTCTCAAGTGTTGGCGCGATCTACAAACCATGTCGCAAACGGAAAAGCAAATATTTTACTAGGGGTCATTTGAAATGAAGAAACGAACACAGTTCGGCCAGATGTAATCGCCGGAGTGTGAAGTCACAGTCAGCTGGCATCGGTGTCGCTAGGTGTATATGATAAAGGGAAGTTGTGCAACCAAATTTGCCGAGTTCGCAGTTTTTCGCCAATAAAAAAATAACTAAG